TTTTTTTTTTTTTTTTTGGTTGATTTCTGATGAGCTTTTTCTAATCTCCATGCAATGGAGTTTGGATTTCATCTTGAATGCAGTGGGATTGGGGAACCCTGATGGACCTAGTTAGGGGAGTACCTGCATCAGGTGTGTCTTTCAAGACCCTCTGAGGCCAGTGTACTGAGCAAAAAGGCTGGAATAGTGGGAGAAGAGGTGGAAGGGTCAGGTGTGAGAAATTCCAAGAGAACAGAAGCCTTCAAACTGGACTGGCGAGAAAGGGCAGAGGCAGTGACCCACAGGACCAGCTGGCTTTGGAGTTCAAAGATTTGTGAAGCCGCCTTATTACATTAACTCAGTAGTTTCACTTCCCAGAGGCCAGCTGGTAATGTCAATTGGGATGGGGTTGCTACTGCCATCTAGTGGGGAGAGGTCGGGGATGCTACTAAACCTCATACCATGCACAGGACAACTCCCACAGCAAGGAATTATCTGAGCTAAATTATCACTAATAGCAAGGTTGAGAAACCCTGCCTTAAATGAACAAATTTTAGAACAGTGGGCTTAGTGGGCAAGACATTTAATCAAAATAATAAAAATTCCAGGTCTGTTTATCACAATTTCCACATTATATCTGAGGTTCACCCTATGATTTCTTCTTTAACATAATCAACTGTGGGAGTTATAGAGTTTACCTAACAATAAAAAATAATTCTAAATTTCATGAAACATTTCATTATAGAATTTTGTAAGAATATAGCAAATTCCTGTCTTTATTTTTATTAATATAAAATCCAAGCAATTACATATTTAATCTGTAAAATTGGTTGTATTCTGACATTGCATGCAAACATAATTATTGAGCTTACTCTCACTTACATGAATATTTCTTTCTTAGCATTTACTTTGAGTGTATCTTTTGCTTAGTTTATTGCTGGTACCAAAAGAAAAACTACAAAAATCTACATAAGATAAAATATAACTTTCTATTTTTGCCTGATAAATGCTTACTATTTATAATTGTGTTTATTACAAAAGATCTATTAGTGACTGTGTTAGATTGGGTTCTCTAGAGAAACACAAAAACCAGCAAAGCATATATGTATATATAGAGAGAGAAAAAAAAAAATTATCTTAGGAAAATGGCTCACAGACGTATAGAAGCCGGCAAGTCCAAAGTCCCTGGAGGAAACGTCGGGCTGGCAGCAGCCTTAGCTTCCGCAAGTGCAGGGGGCCGAGCAATTCAAGGCTGGCAGGCAGTACACTGGTTATTGACTCCAATGAAAGACGAATCCAAGATCTCCAGGCCGAGCGGTGGACTGCTCACTCACGGAAGGTTGTAGTCAGCACACCAGGGTCCCAATTCCTCCAAGAATGTCTCTCTTCCCAGGATGTCCCTGGACATCCTGGAAGCAGGCCACACCCCTAGGGAAACTCCCCTTGGGCAGATTGGCCACTCAGAACGCAGTCATCTGATCCCATCATGGGAACAACCACACAGAACTGGGGTCCAGCCAAGTTGACACATAGCTCCAACTATCACAGTGACTAAATAATTTTAGAATAGAAATTACAAAGATAATATGAAGTATATTCATGTTTACCTTTTCTTCACAGGAAATATTAGTTTTGAAGAGGAAGAAACTAGACAATCAGATTTACAGGAGTAAGATGCATGGAGCAAAAGGAGTAAGAAGTTGTACGACAAAAATTCTCCTGTTAGTTAGGTAGTTAATACTAATCAACTGTTAATCTTTCATACTTAGTTTTATTTTATTTTTTTTGCTAAATTGGTTTTAAATTGTAAATAAATATTTTCATTATCCTTCTTTATGAAATAACCTCTGCTTCAAGTTCTTTAAACTAAAAGTCATCAATCATTTTACGCTGCTTTTTTAGTGATGTTTTCTCTCAGGATAAAGAAAAATGTCATAAAACTGTAACTCTACAGAAGATGGTTAATGGAAGAAGACTTTTGGCTGAGCTAGTGTGGCAATTATATACTAAAGATTCCTTTCTCAAATGTCCCTCTAGGGAGTTAGGAAATTGCCTGCAATGTTAAAATTATTGTGTGCAATTCTCCTAAAATACAATATAATAAACATACTTTGGGTTCGAGTAAGACACTGACAGCTACCGTTGGAGGGTGGCGCTTCTGCCTGGCTGTCCATCTGGGTGGGAACTCCCCCTGCAGATGAGCAAGGGGCAAGACTTCCCACAGAGTGGCTTTAGCCTGTTTTCCACACTCTTCGGGTTTCTTGGTGGGATGGAGGCTAGCACCTAGACCACATTCACATTTTTTGAGTATTGGCTTGAGCACAGCACACCCCATCACCAGTTCCACCCCCAGTGTTTTAGAGAGTTGGGTAAAGCCTTGATTCCCTAGGGGAGCCCTACTTTCCATCTTGCCTGGCTCTAGTTCACCTACATGCTTCTGTCCCCAGAGTTACTCAAAGGGTAAGTGTCTTAGTTTCCTAGTGCTGCCATAACAGAAATAGCACAAGTGAGTGGCTTCAAAGAACAGAAATATATTTTCTCACAGTTTGGGAGGCTACAAGTCCAAATCAGGTTGTGGCTATAGAGGGAATTCCTCTTTTGTCTATTTCAACTTCTAATAGCAAAGGATCCTTGGAATTCATAAGCTTGTAGATTCATCTGCCTCTATCAATCATTAGATAGTGTCTGTCCACATGTGTCAGTGTGTGTCTCTGCTACTCTCTATATAATTCACAAGTGATTAGGATTAGGATCTATCCTACAGTGATAAGACCTCAACTGATCAATTAATTATATAACATTGGAGTATATCTCCTGGAAGGTCATTACATTATATTACATTTAGATTACATACACCTGTAAAGGGTCTAGGATTGCATCACATAGTTTTTGGGGAACACAATTCAATACATAGCAGCAAGTGTCTTCAATCCACTCCAAAATGCCCTGTGTAGTTGGTTTGTCCAATCCAAGTTCATGTATTGCATCTGGCTGTTGTGTCCCTAAGCTTGGGGCCTCTTAAGAACACTGCTGCTCTATGACTACAATCTCCGTACCTCTTTAAGAGAAAATATACAGCATTGTGAATATAAAATTAGATACAAACAAGTATTTATTTAGAATTGAAAATAAATTTTGAAAGAATTCTAAATTTTGAAAGTTGACCAACTCACAAACAACACAAAACTAGAAAACTAGCATAATGTTGTTATCAGTTAACAGCCCCCGGTAATGCTTATTTTCCTCCATTTTTTTTTTTTTTTTTTCTGCCAGCATACTCTGATTCCTCTTCATATGACAACAATTTTGTAACTTTTCTCTATGGAGATTAGCAAGGTCATTGAAGTTGTTTCTTTA